CACTTGCAGGAGAGAGGAAAGACCCAGAAAGATGGTGTGCAAGGCCTTATAAAAACTTTTGAAATTCCCATCCTCTAGGTCAAGCCCACCCCCAGAAACATCATGCATACATTACAGAAAGGAGGGGTTGAGGGAGGAGTTGTGGTGGTAACCTGAGTGTCCTGTCACCTGGCTGGTTCCTCCTTTCCCCCTCCCCATGAGTCACTTCCAGGAGACAAAGGGGAGTTGGCAGTTTCCTGCCCCCAGAGGGAAGATCTGATCATTATCCTTTGTTTCAGTCCATGCTGAATCCACTCCCATATGCAAGTTCTTTGTGATCTTGTTGGTCTTCTGTCTAGGACCATCAGGGTTGGCATAGCAACTGGGCAGGGCTCCTGTGGATGTGCTGGGATGGTGAAGGGATTATGGCTGACCAGAACCAAGCCACCCCCCTTTGATAGTCCTTGTCATATGGAGTAAAATAAAAATGGAACAGTGCAAATCCGATGTATGGTTGATTTTTCTATGAATTTATAACAGAAGTGTGGCGTATGTAGTGTGTGAGTGTGAGTGTGTGAAGTTTGTACAAACTGAATGATTGGGGTGGGGGGGTTCCTGCTACAAAAGAAGACGTGAGGGGTCCTGAGGCCACCTTTTCCCAGAGTCAGATGGCATCATCCCACTTCAACCACCTGCACACTGAGTTCTCCACGCAAGAGAGAATCCTGGCCTAGTTAGGACCTTACACACTCATGCAGGACATTGACAATGTGTCAGTCAAACGTGAGGCTGTCAGAAGCAGGTGGCTCCTGCATGCCTTCCTGGAGGAAAAGTGGGATTGCAATGAATTCTTTTTTAAAAAACAACAGCAATAACTGAGACTTCAGCCTAAGTCTGAGTGCTCAGCCACCTGGCAGACAAACCTGGGACAAAGCACCTTCTGAAACACGCCAGTGAAACCTCATTGCATGAGTCTTTTCCCATGACATTAATATTCATTTTACACTAATGCGGGATGAATACATTTAAATTTTTGGCCAGGGCCCATAAGTCATTTTAATGACATACACACAGAGACTGCATCAGGGTGATCTATGGTGCATTTTAACATAATATTAGAAAATACTGTCCCGTATTTCACTTGGACATGCAACGAGCAGCAAGACAAGGTGGCTGTTGCTGCTGGACAAAAGGGCGCACTCGGAGGAAGGCAGAAATAAATTAAAATGTATTAATCAGGAGTGAATGGCATTCTGCAAATAAATTGCCAGGTGTCATGTGGTGGCTCACAGTTTGCTATTTGTTTCTCTTTCTCAGTGTCCAACATCTGCCAGCCTGAACTGGTGCTTCGCTCGTTTGGGGTTAGCAACATAGAAAGCTGCCATCTAGCTCAGCCCTGACTGGCAGCAGCTCTCCAGGGTTTCAAGTGAGGGACATTCCCAGCCCCACCTGGAGATGCTATAGGGGGCGGAACCTGGGACCTTCTGCCTGCAACCTTCTAGGGAAAAGAGCGGAGCAGGACATCCAAGTCTTATTTACTGACCAGCAGAAGTCACCCTCATTACATACAGTCACAAACAGGCAGTGGCCAACTACTGAGACCTCATCAGATGCAGGTTCAGGAGAGTTCACAGAGACTAGAAAATTGGTGTTTTTAAAGAAAAGAAATGGAAGCCCAGATACTTTAGATACTGTGCCCAGTACCCACTTCTGCACGATAATAAAATACAGCACTGGCTGTAACCAAATTAACCTTCTGTTCCTCCTGACTCCTTCTATCTCGAAGAACTGGAACTGCAAGATAAAGTGAACCATTCAGCTTAGCAATGTTTTCTTCTCTCTCAACCCCCTCAACCCCACCGATCTCTTAAGTGCCTGCCTGGAGAAGAGTCCGGTGAGACCGTCAACCTTACATCCTGCCTTTTAAACACCGGTTTGCTCTGTTAAACGGCACCATTGCTCTTTCCCTCCCTCTTCTGCTCCACATCCTCTGCTACTTAAGGGCAATTTTCACTCAGCTTTATCTGTCCCCGTGTTGTGCTTGGAGTGCTGAAGTCTCTGTGGTTTTAGGCCAAACGGTCCTGGTGCATCTTTGTAAAAGGGTTTTCAGAGGCAGGTGGGGGATGGGCTGGGGTGGAGAAAAAGAAACCAATGGGTGTGTGAAAGGGCCAAACCATGTCTGAAAGAGACCAGCAGTGGCAAGGACAGACAGCATCCCTGTGACAGCAGAGGGGCCCTCGCAGGCGTCAGGACAACAAGGGAAGACGCAGAGCAGCACTCTCTCTGCAATGCACCCACCGCCACTCATTATCCCCTGTAAAGATCCTGTTCCTGGGGAGCTGGGAGAACAGCAGGGACATGCAGGGACTGGTAAGAAATGGTGTGAGGAAAACACTTACAGCAGGAGCATTTTCATTCCTGCCCAGGCTGCATCTCTGCAGCACGTGCTAAATCACTGGGGGTGAAATGACGGCCTTAACAGCCGCACCTGCACAGTGCAGCTCAAAGGTCAGACTTTACGAGGGGCTCCAGCCTGTCGCTCCCTGCAGAGTGGTCCATCTGCTCTCTGTGGGAGGTAAAGCAACACTCTCTGGGCTGGTTTAATAGTAATAATAATAATAATAATAATAATAATAATAATAATAATATATTTATTATTTAAATCCCACCCATCTGGCTGGGTTTTCCCATCCACTCTGGGTGGCTCCCAATCAAATATTAAAAACACAATACAGCATTAAACAATACAGCATGGCCGCCTATTCTCCTTTGGAAAACCACCTCCTTGAGCCTGGATTTTGTTTCTGCTCCATTCTTTTTCAAAGGGTATCAATATTCTCCTACTGCTCTGCTTTATCCTACTTTCTAGATCTTGGACTCAGTGTGGCTTAGAATAGGAACAGCTAAAACATCAGGGGCTGGGGGGAGGACCATCAAAACAATGTTAATATTAATAGAATTTAAACTGTATATAAATATACAATTTATTAAATGCATACAGATAATTACAATAAAAACAGCAGGGCACCACCCCCTTCATTATAAGCAGTCAGTTCTCCAAAGCTGGTTTGAAGAATCATAGAATCATAGAATCATAGAGTTGGAAGAGACCACAAGGGCCATCGAGTCCAACCCCCTGCCAAGCAGGAAACAGCATCAGAGCACTCCTGACATATGGTTGTCAAGCCTCTGCTTAAAGACCTCCAAAGAAGGAGACTCCACCACACTCCTTGGCAGCAAATTCCACTGTCGAACAGCTCTTACTGTCAGGAAGTTCTTCCTAATGTTTAGGTGGAATCTTCTTTCTTGTAGTTTGGATCCATTGCTCCGTGTCCGCTTCTCTGGAGCAGCAGAAAACAACCTTTCTTCCTCCTCTATGTGGCATCCTTTTATATATTTGAACATGGCTATCATATCACCCCTTAACCTCCTCTTCTCCAGGCTAAACATGCCCAGCTCCCTTAGCCGTTCCTCATAAGGCATCGTTTCCAGGCCTTTGACCATTTTGGTTGCCCTCCTCTGGACACGTTCCAGTTTGTCAGTGTCCTTCTTGAACTGTGGTGCCCAGAACTGGACACAGTACCCCAGGTGAGGTCTGACCAGAGCAGAATACAGTGGCACTATTACTTCCCTTGATCTAGATGCTATACTCCTATTGATGCAGCCCAGAATTGCATTGGCTTTTTGAGCTGCCGCGTCACACTGTTGGCTCATGTCAAGTTTGTGGTCAACCAAGACTCCTAGATCCTTTTCACATGTACTGCTCTCAAGCCAGGTGTCCCCCATCTTGTATTTGTGCCTCTCATTTTTTTGCCCAAGTGCAATACTTTACATTTCTCCCTGTTAAAATTCATCTTGTTTGTTTTGGCCCAGTTCTCTAATCTGTCAAGGTCGTTTTGAAGTGTGATCCTGTCCTCTGGGGTGTTAGCCACCCCTCCCAGTTTGGTGTCAACTGCAAATTTGATCAGGATGCCCTTGAGTCCATCATCCAAGTCGTCGATAAAGATGTTGAATAAGACCGGGCCCAAGACAGAACCCTGTGGCACCCCACTAGTCACAAGATCTTCGCCTGCTGACAGAAGAACAGCAAGGAGGGAGCCAGTCTAATTTCCCATGGGAGGGAGCTCCAAAGCTGTCTGGGAGGGAGCAGTCACCAAAAATGCCTAAACCAGGGTCCCCAATTTGGGACCTGCTTTAATTTGTGTGCGTGGATGCGTTAATGTGAGTTGCTGAAGCCAGACCAGGATGCTTTGTGTTATGTACTGAAGTTCTCACCCTGGGCCAGCAGGGGGGTACTGTAGATGGTTATGCAAATGAAGGATCGAAAAGTGACGTTCAGTGATTGGATAGTTTTAGAAAATGGCAACAGTTACATTGTTCTGGAGCTCTATATAAGCAGGCTGACTGAGCCCTTCAGTTTAGTTCTGCTCTGACATCTGAATAAAGAAGAGCTGCTTGAAGAATCGCTGTGTTGTCTGCTATGTTCGCCCACAACTTAACACTGGCGACGAAGGTGGGATCGATGGACATCAGAGCACAGCCAGATGCAGCCACCCTCTGAGCTGAGCTGAATCACTGAGCGAAATCACTGAACAGAACCAATTCAGAGCTGACTGTTCTGGCTAGAGCACGGTGTTCCATCCATCACCCTCCACGCCGGCATCGGAATCATGGCTTCACTTGTGCCTCTACCGCCATTTGCGCCAGCCTCTGAATCATGGGACTCCTACCTCGCTCGGTTCAACTGCTACCTCCAAGCCAACAAGCTGACAGCAGTATCAAAGGAACGGAAGCGGGGCCTATTCCTCAGCCTCTGTGGGCCTGAGGTGTTTGAGATGGGCCGAGCATTGGTTGCGCCTGAAGCAGTCCAGGCAAGACCGTGGGACACGATCCAAGAGAAGCTCCGCAACCACTACGCACATAAGCCGTCCAAGATTGCTGTCCGCCATGCGTTCTATCACCGGAACCAGGCAGAAGGGGAGTCAATCAACAACTACACCACCGCCCTGCGACAGGCCGCAATGCACTGCGAGTTCCGAGACTTAGACGATGCCCTGATGGATCGAATCGTCTACGGGGTCCGGGACATCCATCTGCAATGGCGTCTCCTCGCCAAGCCAGACCTCACGCTACAGAAAGCCATTGAGGAGGCTGTGGCCCAGGAGATCCGCAAGTCCAGCAGCCCGCGTCTTTCTAGGAAGCCAGTTCCAGTGCATCACGAAGAGGCCAGCAGTGATGAGGCATCCTCCAGTGAAGACGATGACATGCACCAGACAAAGTGGGAGCGCAGGAAGTTCCAACAGAAGTCCAAGGGCCAACCGGAATGTGCCGGCTGCGGAGGCAACCATTCCCGTGCCAAGTGTCGATTCAGAGACGCCATCTGTCGGACGTGTTTCAGAAGGGGCCACATCGCTAAGGTCTGCCGATCGGCTCGGTCTGACACCCCCCCCTTCACCGACTAGCAAGTCCAAGTCTTCACTCCAGTCTGCCAAGGAAAGCTGTTTCACTCTCACCAACTGCCGCTGCCCGTCTGGAACCACGATTGGCCAAACCGACTCGCCTACACGACGCAAGCTGAACGTCACGGTGCTCATTGAAGGAGCTCCATGTGACATGGAGATCGACACCGGGTCTGCCCTGTCCATCGTGTCTTGGAGCACCATCAAAAGACTGGTACCCAGAGTGTCCAAAAGGCAACTTGACTCTCACCGCGTACACCTGAGAGACTACCAGGGAAACGACATTCCCGTGGTAGGTGTTAGCCGGTTCCAGATCGCCTTCAAGGATTTTTCGGGGCTGCTCCGACTGGTGGTGGTCGAAGGTCAGCAGCCAAGCCTCCTAGGGCTAGACTGGTTTGATGCCCTCGGCCTGGAGGTCACCGGCATCAACTGCATCTCTAATGCAGAGACTGAGGGTCTGGTCAAAGACTTTGCTGAGGTTTTTGACGGCACTTTGTGGCAATACACAGGTACGCCCATCTCCTTTAGCCTTGAACCACAAGTCGCCCGCATCAAGCTAAAGCCACGCCGGGTTCCCTTTGCTCTCAAGGCTAAGGTGGACGAACAACTGGACAAGCTGATCGCCCAAGGAGTTTTGGAGCCGGTTGACCACGCCAAGTGGGAAACCCCCATCGTCACGCCTGTCAAGCCAGACGGGTCGGTGAGAATCTGCGCTGACTACAAGTGCACGATCCTGCTTGGCAGGGGGTTGGACTCGATGGCCCTTGTGGTCTCTTCCAACTCTATGATTCTATGATTCTAAGGCACTTCAGCAGCACGCTTATCTGGTTCCTGTTGTCCAACACATGCTGCATTCCCCGGGTGAGGGTAAGGTCTTTGCTAAGCTGGACCTTGCCCAAGCCTATCAACAACTGCCTGTCGATGATGCCACTGCTGAAGCCCAGACGATCGTCACCCACCGAGGGGCATTCCGTTGCAGCCGTTTGCAGTTCGGGGTGAGTGTGGCTCCTGGCATCTTCCAAAGCCCTATGGAGCGTCTCCTGCAAGGGCTTCCGGGCGTGGTACCATATTTTGATGACGTCTTGGTGTCCGCAGACTCACACCAGCAGCTGTTCGAGCGCCTCCGCGCCGTGCTGACCAGGTTCCAGGAGGCCGGGCTCAAGGTAAAGAGGGAGAAGTGCCAGATCGCCGTTCCACAGGTGGAGTTCCTGGGTTATCTTATCGACACCTCCAGCCTTCACCCGACCACATCCAAGATCCGCGCTATCCAGCAGGCCCCCATCCCAAAGAACAAGACGGAGTTGCAGGCGTTCCTGGGACTGCTGAACTTTTATAACATGTTCCTGCCCCACAAAGCCACGGTGGCTGAGCCTCTTCACCGACTCCTCAGCACAAAGGCACCTTGGTCCTGGGGTCATCGGGAGATGGCGGCCTTCAACGCGGTCAAGGCTCTCCTTTCATCGGACAGTGTGCTGGTACAGTACAGTGAAGCCAGGCCGCTGGTCCTTGCCTGCGACGCCTCACCTTTTGGCATCGGCGCTGTCCTTAGTCACCGTTTTCCAGATGAAAGAGAGGCACCGCTCGCCTACTTTTCCAGGACGCTATCTCTGACTGAACGGAATTACAGCCAGCTCGACAAGGAGGCACTGGCACTTGTGGCTGGAGTGAAGAGGTTCCATGAATACCTCTATGGCAGGACTTTTGACCTCATCACTGACCACAAGCCGCTCCTGGGCCTCCTCGCCGGTGATCGTCCAACTCCACCGGTCCTCTCACCGTGCATGCTGCGATGGACTGTTTTCCTGGCTGCCTACCACTACCGGCTCGTCCATCGCCCGGGGAAATCGATGGGCCATGCCAACGCCCTCAGCCGTTGCCCTCTTCCAGCGTTTGTGGAAGACCTGGCTCCAGCTTCATTGCTCCTCCTGATTGAGGATCTTCCGGCAGCTCCTGTATCGGCTGCCACTGTGGCCTCCGCATCTGCCCAGGATCGCACCATCAGCCGTGTGCTCAACTGCGTGTGGAGGGGGTGGCCACAAGGGCCTTTTGCATCGGAGTTCCAACCGTTTGCAACCAGACAACATGAACTCTCGGCTCATCGCGGCCGTCTGCTGTGGGGAGACTGCGTCGTGATTCCCCAAAGACTCCGTCAACGCATCCTTGAAGCTCTGCACGTTAGCCACCTGGGAATCGTCAAAATGAAGGCGTTGGCTCGGTGTTACGTCTGGTGGCCTAACATGGACGATGCCATCACTGCCTGGGTGTCCGCCTGTCAAGCGTGCCAAGAATCGAGGCCTGCGCCACCGGCAGCTAAGGGACACACCTGGGAGACGCCAAAGACACCCTGGTCGAGGGTGCACATCGATCTGGCTGGCCCCTTTCACGGCCGGACCTTTATGGTAGTGGTGGACGCCTATTCCAAATGGCTGGAGGTGGCCCTGATGCCCTCCACCACTACCAAGGCCATCCTCCGGGTGCTGCGAGGCCTCTTTGCGACGCATGGGTGTCCTGATGTCCTTGTCTCCGACAACGGACCACAGTTCACGTCAGGCACTTTTGAGCGGTACCTTTTGGGACTGGGCATCCGCCATGCCCTAACGGCACCATTTCATCCATCCAGCAACGGGCAAGCGGAGAGAATGGTGCACTCGGCAAAAGAGGCACTGGCGCGCCTGGACCGGGGAGACTGGCACGAGCGGGTCACCGAATACTTGTTCGTGCAACACATCACCCCTCATGCGGCCACAGGGCGGAGTCCTGCTGAACTGCTTATGGGCAGCCGCCTCAGGTCCCCGATCGACCGGCTGCACCCGGAGTTTGCCGTGGCCGAACCCCCAGGCTGTGCCAACGCGCCACGGTCATTTGTTCCAGGAAACCAGGTCTTTGCCCAGAACTATGTGGGGGACATTCCTTGGGTGCCAGCCACAGTAGTTGGAGTCACTGGACCTCGCTTGTACCAGGTGGCACTCGAAGACGGACGCTTGTGGCGCCGGCACATAGACCAGCTTAGGCGCAGGGTTGGGGACTTGGACACTACCGTGGTGCCCCCAACTGTGCTCATGGCTCCGGAAGAGACACTTACAGATGGCGAGGCTCCACCTACACCTCCCTCACAAACTGCCAGCGTGGAGCCGAACCAAGCCACTTCAGAGGGTCTGCCAGACTTACCACAGGCTCAGACCACTCCACTTGTGGAGGCTCCACCCACAGCAGCGGATCCAGGGGATTTGGTTTCAACGCCACCTAGGGTCGCACCACAGCCTCAGCAAGAATTGTGTGGCCCCCCGAACTTGGCTACCAGTCCCCGGCGGTCTGTCAGAGTTTCCAAGCGCCTAACTTATTTAAAGGACTATGTTGTTGGACATGTATCACTGTTGGTCTAAGTATGTGAAATGTAACCGATATGCTTTTGTGCCTAATTGAACCATTACGTGTAGTGCTGTATATAAGAAAACCATTACGATTGTAACTAACGCCTTATCTCAGTGGGGAGGGGTGTTATGTACTGAAGTTCTCACCCTGGGCCAGCAGGGGGATACTGTAGATAGTTATGGAAATGAAGGATCGAAAAGTGACATTCAGTGATTGGATAGTTTTAGAAAATGGCAACAGTTACATTGTTCTGGAGCTCTATATAAGCAGGCTGACTGAGCCCCTCAGTTTAGTTCTGTTCTGACATCTGAATAAAGAAGAGCTGTTTGAAGAATCGCTGTGTCGTATGCTGTGTTTGCCCACAACTTAACAGGGAGTGTGGCTGCTCAGGATACCAGTTTCATATCAATCAGTGGTGCAGGACAGTGAAGGTGAATCTATTTCAGCTGACGGGCTGCCTTCCCCTCTTGGCCAGTGAGGGGCAGGGCCAGAGGCAGAAGTGGGTGTGACAATATATACAAATTTTATCTTTACAGTACAGGCTAGTTTCTGTGCTCACCTCTCTCCATCCTGGCAGGTAAGGGGCATTATCAGATGTCAGGGACACATGCCTGACAGACTCAAGGTGGTGCCAAGCTGAGCCATTGAGGGCTATGGCTCTGTCTCAAGGGCCAGACAGAGGGGCCTGGAGGTCCGCATTGGTCCCCTGGGCCTGAGGTTCTATATTCCTGGTCAGGGGTGACAACTTGAATAAAATATTGGGGGTGGGGCAGGTAAGCCCTGTCCTGCATAATTGATCACATGATGCAGCGCATGCACACCATTTGAATGGCAATGCCCATCAACTTTTTTTGGGGGGGGGGCTGGCCCACTCAAATATTTTATGGGGGGGACCAAAAACCCCTTGGCCCCTAGGAGTTGGTTCCTATGTCCCTGGTCTAGGGGTAAATTTTGAAGAGCAAGAGCTCATAATGACAGTTCCCATTACCATACGCCCAAGGAAGCGACAAAAATGCAGCATCTCTCCTGATCTATTATTGCAGCCCCATCAGCACCAGGACACAGCATAATATCCAATTCAACAGGATGAGACCAGTTGCAGTCCTATGCTGTGTTTCCTGGGAGTAAATTCTCCATAGTAGGCTCACTGATCAGCTTCTAAAACAAATCCAGCTTTACCAAAAGATTGTATGCTGCCTAAAATGAAACCTTTCATTTATAATCAGGTCCCAGGGAATGGCCATCTTCTTGCTGAAGCTAAGCAGACCTTGGTCTCCACAACAGAAGAAAGTGGAGGTATAAATGTAATTAATAAAATTTGAAAAGAAATGAGAAAGAAAGGCAAAGCATCTTGCAAAGAGCTGTTTTATCACTGAAAGGGCCAGTGTGAAGTAAGAACCCTCTAAAAGAAAATAAGTGTCTGGTTCTGGCCCAACCATTCGCCTCATTCTCTGACTTTATTTAAACATATGCATGCCATACAATGAATGGACACAGCTTTGGCACCGAAATGGCAATATAGAGGAATATTTCAACCATTCTGGACCAGACTTACCACCCCCCTCTAAGTGACCTTAGAGTGGCTGTTCTAGAGCAATAGAGATCCAGCAAGTTCCAAAGGGTAGGTGATG